AAAACAAAAACAAACTGACCAGTACGAAAATATGTATTCAATTGTGAAATTTTAAAACCTTTCCAGAAGTACTTGTAATGTTTTTGTAACTTTCTCATAGAGATGCTCACTATGAATCATGATTGAAAAATCCCAAAGAAGTAAAGAACACGATAAGAAAAGGTTGAATAAAAGAAAATAAAAAAGTATTCGTCAGAGTATTTTATTTCTCTTTGATAAGCAGGACTCATTTTTTTGTGCAAGACACTTTTCACAAATAAATAAAAAAAAATGGGTGCGCTTTCGTCAACTCCATACGACATACTTGGAGCAAAAAAAACTGATAATGATTATCAATTACGTCTAGCATATCGTGCACGAATCCATGAATATAAAAAAGATCGACTTCAAAACCCTACAAATCGTAATGTTGCCGCTGAAAATTTTCGACTTATTTGTCGAGCTTATGAAACACTATCTGATCATGATAAACGTAAAAAATATGATCAAGATGAAGAATGGATAAGAAATATACCTTTAAATGAATATACATTACAACAATTAGCTGCTGAACCTGAACTTGCAAAACAATTCAAAATTCGTTTACAAAATGTAACATTAAGAGATATAAATGCACAAGATTCACGAACAGGACATACAGCACTCTATTGTGCAGCACGTGCTTGCAATGTAGAAGCTGTCAATTATTTAACAGAACAAGGGGCTGAACCTGATCGAAAACAATGGGGAGGAAGTACAGCTCTACATGTAAGTGCTTTTTATGGACATCCAGAAATAGTCCGTTGTTTATTGGAAAGTGGTGCTGATTATCGAATAAAAAATCGTGGTAAAAGTACAGCCGAAGATGAATCTTCTGATGCTGATGTAAAACAAATGTTTACTGATTTGAAAACTACACCTTTTGTACAAGCAGCTGCAGATCAACTTGATTGGTTTAAAACTAATATTAGTAATATCACACAACATATTGATGAACAATATCATGTACAACGACAAACATTACTTCATTGTGCTAGTAAAAAAGGTTATATGGATCTCGTTTGTTGGTTAGTCGAAAAACGTTCAGCCAATTTAGATATTGTTGATATTAATTCAAATTCAGCTTTACATCTTGTTGCTTATGGTGGACATGAATCAGTTGTTGAATATCTTCTCAATCGAGGTGCTAATCCACTTTTACTAAATAAATGGTGTATGACAGCTGAACAAGAAGGTTTTATTCATGATAAAAAGATTACAGATCTATTTCAATCGATGCGTGAACAAGACATGTTTGATATGGCTGTTAAAGGTATCGATTGGTGGTTTGAATACTATTTTGGTGATAAGTCACCAGATACAGTTAATGATAAAGGTATAAATTTATTGTATCTTGCATGTCGTTATGGTCAAACATTGGTTGCAAAATGTCTTTTAGAAAAAGGAGCTAATGTTAACATAAGACTTTTAAAAGAATCAGAAAGTACACCATTACATGGTGCTGTCTATCATGGACATGTTTCAACAGTTGATTTATTATTAAGTTATGGAGCTGATGTAAATATAAAAAACAAATATGGTTCGACTCCTATTGATGATGCACGAACTGATGAAATGAGACAAATCTTAAAACAATATCGAGCTAATCTAGATGGAAATAAATTTTTTTCTGTATATTTATTTGGTGATGGTGCACAGTCTGGTAATGAACCATTAGCAAAATTACAATTACATTATGATGCTACATATAATGATCTTGTACAAGCAATGCCTAACACAATACGAGATAAATATCCAAATTTTTCTATCGCTCGACGTCCATTAAATTTTGAGGAAGATAATACAACAGTTCTATCAGCTGTATGTCGTGCTCGATATGGAAAAACAAAATTTGTCCAATTACCACTATGTATAACAGCACATGAAAGAGCACGCTATACACATAGTGGTCATGTTCTTAGTAAAAAACTTCCTAATCATCCTATGCGTAGTGTTGATAGTAAATTTCGCGCAAAATGTCAAAGTTCATCAATAGAAATCCGTGGTCAATTGAATGAAAATCAAAAATTTACATTTGAAGATTTATCATTTACTTTTCCAAATAATTGTACTAATGAAAATCTTTCAATTAATATTGATTATATAATATCACCAGAATTTGATTTATTCAGTTTACCAGAATGTATTTGTCTTTTTAAAACTCAATATCATGGTAAAAACGCTAAATTAAATGATATGCCAATAGTATCATTTAATGGTGAACCAAATGCTCGACTATATAATTGGGTACCATCATCGTCTTATTGGTATTCTTATAGAACACGACAAACACGTTTAGTTTCAATTGGTGAAACACATGCTTTTGTTCGTCATATTGATATTATTCCTTCTCTATTAAGTCTTCCACCAGATATGTTTATTCAAGCTGCTTTTGGAAAACTATTTGAAGATCGTAATGAACCTGTTTATTGTCGATGTTTAAAAATTCGCGAACATAATAAAGAAGACTTTCCTCATATTGCTTATCATGGAACAAATGTAAAAGCTATAGAATCAATTCTTATGGATGGACTTGTTATGCCAAGTACTGTAGTCTCTTGTGGATTACGTATTTCTCCACCAAACAATCATATTGCACGACAAAAAACAGCTTTTGGTATTGTTGATTTTTCAAATGGAATATTTGTAACACCAAGTATACATTATTGTTCAGATCCAGCATATGCAGTCACATTTGCACATAATGATGAATGTCTTATATCTGTACTGGAATGTAGTCTAAAAGATGGTTCATTCAAGAGTTTTAAAAGTACTGTTCCGTCTTATGTTGCTCATGAAGGTGATGATATTAATGCAATCGAATGGCGTCTGACAAATCCAGCAGATATTGAAATCATATCTGTACTTTTTATTCCTGTGATAATATCAAAAACTGAAGCAGCGAATTCGAGAGCTAAGAAACTTGGTGCTGATCCAAAGTGTTAAATAAAAAGTGAACAATGAATTTTATCTTTTTAAAGTGATTACATTTGTTTTTAATATTCTATTTGATATGTTGTTAATCCATTCAAATTACAATGCATCAATTAATTCAGATAGATTTCTTTAAAAAAATTCTCATTTTAGAGACTTTTGAGAATATAGATTGAATCGAACTTTATTTTTAACATGAATTACATATTCGATAATAAAGCTGTGATTATTTTCAAGAAATGCTATTTCCATCAGACTCATATAGGATATTATTAATCATAATTTCTTTGAACTTAAAAGAATATTTAGTTCTTTGCTCATCAATAGTTCATATTGTGTTCTGTTCAGCCTAGAGCTCTCAATTGACTTCTTAATGTGAACCTATGTTTGTAAGTTTTTCTATTCGAACAATTTTATATTTCAACTGATATAGATTAACCATAGAATGAAGAACACAATAATGTAATGAAACGAATTACATTGTCTTGAAAAACTGTATTTTAATAATAGATACCTAAAGATTTATGTCACTTATGTGAACAAGGGATTCTATATAAATGTTTGATTCAGACTTAGTTCTGATGCAAATTTTCATCGGTTTTTTTCTAACAAAAGAACCACTTGAGATGTCATATCACTTTTGAACTCATCTTGTTGGCCGTAAGTAGGAAATTTCGAGGCTATTTCTTGTGAGCCTTTGATTTCAATTATTCTCTGTCATTGTATTGCCCAACATCGTCAACGTTATCTACATCTTGATTTATTTCTAAATACTTCTACATACTTCACTGATTCTCTATTCTTATTATGTTTTTTTCTTGTTGAAAATGGATATGATGAAAGCAGAATTTGATCTTGCATGCATTGATGATTTAATAATGTGTTGCAGCTTGTTCGTGGGTAACGCATTCACGTTTTTTTCAACTTTCGTTTGAGATTTCTTCTGAACAACTAAGCGTGAAACCTCGAAATTTCAAGTGTATACGTATGTAACTACATTGTTTAAAAACTATGCGCTTCATTAGAATTAAGTGTATAATTCGTGTCTTATATCAAAAACATACGCCGATAACGCACTCACACGAAACTAGGGTATGGGTGTGGATAAAGGGTAAGAATGAATTCACATCCACAACCACACTCTAATACAATGGGTATGGAAGGTTGATTAAGAGAAAGAATCTTTATTCAATCGATGTTTTATTAAGAGCTAGAATTTAGTGATCATCGAGAAGATGTATGACCGTACTTGAAGAGTTTTTTCAATTATAGGAAAGATCTTGAACTCATAAAACTATCTTTCACAACACTCTACATTGGAGTGAGGTTGTATCTGACCAAATAAAATAAAGCCTTAAACCTGAATTCTTGCATACAAATGTAACAAACAAAGACTAAAGATTGAATTACAGTCGGTGCCATTCTTCTATTTATTTACATTAAAAATGTCCAGAGTAAGTCAAGATCGAGGAAGAAAGAACAGAGCCTTCAATCTAGAAGTCT